AAAGAAATGAGAAAGGACCCAAATTAATAAAATTATGAATGTAAGGGGAGAGATCATGACTAACACCAAGGAAATAAAAACAATTATTAGAAATTATTATCAACAACTGTATGCCAATAAATTAAGCAACATGGAAGAAATGGATGCCTTCCTGAAAACATAGAAACTATCAAGACTGAAACAGGAAGAAATTGGCAATCTGTATAGCCCAATAACCAGTAATGAAATTGAAGCAATGATCAACCACCCCCCACCAAAAAAACAAAACAAAACAAAAAAACAAGTCCAGGGCCTAATGAATTCCCAGGGGAATTCTACCAAACATTTAAAGAAGAAATAATACCTATTCTCTTGAAGTTGTTTCAAAAAATAAAAACAGAAGGAAAACTTCCAAACTCAGTCTATGAGGCCAGCATTACCTTAACCCCCAAACCAGGCAAAGACCCTATCAAAAAGCAGAATTACAGACCAATAGTCCTGATGAATATGGATGCCAGAATTCTCAACAAGATCCTAACCAATTGGATCCAACAGTACATTAAAAGGATTGTCTATCAGGACCAGGTAGGATTTATTCCTGGGATGCAAGGGTGGTGCAACAGTCACAAATCAATCAGTGTGATAGAACACATAAATGAAAGAAAAAACAAGAACCACACGATCCTCTCATTTGATGCAGAAAAAAACATTTGACAAAATATAGCATCCTTTCCTGATTAAAACTCTTCAGAGTGTAGGGATAGAGGGAACAGTCCTCAATTTCTTAAAAACCATCTGTGAAAAGCCCACAGCAAATATCAGCTTTTCCCTTAAGATCAGGAACATGACAAGGATGCCCACTCTCACCACTATTGTTCAACATAGTGCTAGAAGTCCTAACATTAGCAACCAGACAACAAAAAGAAATAAAAGGTATCCAGATTGGCAAAGAGAAGTAAAACTCTCTCTCTTTGCAGATGACATGATACCTTATGTGAAAAACCCAAAAAGACTCCACCTCCAAATTACTAGAATCATATGGCAATTCAGTAACGTGGCAGGATACAAAATCTGTGCACAGAAATCAGTTGTTTTTCTATACACTAATGATGTAACCGTACAAAGAGAAATTAGGGAATCGATTCTATTTACAATAGCACCGAAAACCATAAGGTACCTTGGAATAAACCTAATGAAAGAGGTAAAGGATCTAGAAACTATGGAACACTTAGGAAAGAAATTGAAGAAAACACAAAAAGATGGGAAAACATTCCATGCTCATGGACTGGAAGAACTAATACTGTTAAAATGTCTATCCTGCCCAGAGCAATCTACACTTTCACTTCCGTCCTGATCAAAATACCAATGGCATTTTTCAAAGAGCTGGAACAAAAAGTTCTAAAATTTGTATGGCACCAGAAAAGACCCCAAATCACCAAGGAAATGTTGAAAAAGAAAAAAAAAGCTGATTGTATCACATTGCCTTATTTCAAGCTATATTACAAAGCTGTGATCACCAAGACAGTATGGTACTGGCACAAAAAGACACATAGATAAATGGAACAGAATAGAGAGCCCAGATATGGACCCTCAACTCTATAGTCAACTAATCTTCAACAAAGCAGGAAAGAATAGCCAATGGAAAAAAGACAGTCTGTTCAATAAATGGTACTGGGAAAATTGGACAGCTATATACAGAAGAATGAAACTCGACCGTTCTCTTCCACCATACACAAAGATAAACTCTAAATGGATGAAAGACCTCAATGTGAGACAGGAATCCATCAAAATCCTAGAGGAGAACATAGGCAGTAACCTCTTTGACATCAGCCACAGCAACTTCTTTCAAGACACGTTTCCAAAGGCAAGGTAAACAAAAGCAAAAATGAACTTTTGGGACTTGAGCAAGATAAAAACCTTCTGCACAGCAGAGGAAATAGTCAACAAAACAAAGAGGCAACCCATGGAATAGGAGAAGATATTTCCAAATGACACTACAGATAAAGGGCTGGTATCCAAGATCTATAAAGAACTTCTCAAATTCAACATCCAAAAAACAAATAATCAAGTGAAAAAAAGGGGCAAAAGACATGAACAGACACTTCTCCAAAGAAGACATACACATGGCTAAAAGACACATGAAAACATGTTTAGCATCATTAGCCACCACGGAAATCCAAATCAAAATCACACTGAAATACCATCTTACACCAGTTAGAATGGCAAAAATTCACAAGGCAGGAAACAACAAATGTTGATGAGGATGTGGAGAAAGGGTAACCGTGTTACACTGTTGGTAGGAATGCAAGTTGGTACAGTCACTTTGGACAACTGTTTGGAGGTTCCTCAAAACATTAAAATAGAGTTACCCTATGATCCAGCATCATGCTCCTGGGTATTTACCCCAAAGATAGAAATGTAGTGATCTGAAGGGGCACATGCACCCCATTGTTCATAGCATCAGTATCCACAATAGCCAAACTGGGAGGAGATGAGATGCCCTTCAGTAGGTGAGTGGATAAAGAAGATGTGGTCCATATGTACAATGGAATATTACTCAGCCATCAGAAAGGATGAATACCCACCATTTGCCTCAACATGGATGGAACTGGAAGGAATTATGCTAAGTGAAATAAGTCAAGCGGAGAAAGACAATTATCATGTGGTTTCACTTACATGTGGAACATAAGGAATAACATGGAGGACATTAGGAGAAGGAAGGGAAAATGAAGGTGGGGAGACCAGAGGGGGAGATGAACCATGAGAGACCCTGGGAAACAAACTGAGGGTTTCAGAGGGGAGGTGGACAGGGGGATGTGTTAGCCTGGTGATGGGTATTAAGGAGGGTACGTATTGCAATGAGCACTGGGTTTTATATGCAAACAATGAGTCATGGAACACATCATAAAAAACTAATGAAGTACTGTATGGTGACTAACATAACACAATAAGAAATATATTCTTTTTTTTTTTTTCAAGATTTTAGTTATTTATTTATTTGACAGAGATTACAAGTAGGCAGAGAGGAAGGCAGAGAGAGAGGAGGAAGCAGGCTCCCCTGCTGAGCTGAGATCCCGATGCGGGGCTCCATCCCAGGACCCTGGGATCATGACCTGACCCACTGAGCCACCCAGGCACCCCAAGAAATATATTCTAATAATTGTGTGAGGAAGACCTATCTGGAAGAAAAATATAGCTACGCAGTTTATTCTGTAACCAGTACGTACAGAAGTCTCAATGAAGAAGTGATCACGATTTGATGGAGAATATTGAGAACACGTCCTAAGAGAATGTGGAATTCAGGCTGAGCCTCAAAAGTGTCTTTAAACAGAGAAAAGAGCAAGGCTCATGAGCAAAAGTTACTGTATATTTATAATGATAATATGAACGTATGTATAAAGAATATGGAGAATAGTTTGTCTTTTATAGAGGTATTCTTGGAGGTATCAACTAGGAGATAAGTTTGGAGAAGTGGGATGTGACCAAATTATGAAGAACTCTGAGTGTGTGGCAGGTTACAACTTTAATTGAAGAGATCCTTGCTATTCAAAGTGGTCTCTGTACTAGCCAAATAAGGAATTACTGAGCAGCATTTTTAGAAATGCAGCATTTCAGGCCTACTGTAAATAAGAAAATTCATAAGTGTTACTATAGTGTATAGTCTGAATCTGGTATTCTAAGTCAAATGTTTATGAGTAAGAACACCTTTTTTTTTTATGTTCAGTTAGCATATAGGAACACATTTTTCAACAGAAACTATGTAAAAAAAAGATACTTAGGATTTTGGCCTAAGCTATATAGGCCTAAATGATTCCTAAGTTAGAAATACTCTGTGAGAATTAGTGCTGAAATTCCTGGTGAGGCAATAAGTGCTGAAATGAAGAACTGAAAAGCAGATTTAGGTCTGGTTTAAGGGAGGGGAAAAAGAAAATAAGCCTGTCAGACTGCTAAGTAGTGGGTCATGCAGGGTGTAATAGAAAGTCAATGACTGGGGCATCCTGATCCTATAATTTCTCAAATGCTAGTTTTTGTAGAATAGCATCTGTGTTGCCAGGAGAGATCTAGGATTCTTATAGCAAATTCTCTCTTCCTTAACATAACAGCAGGCAGCCTTGATTCAGGGAAAGAACAAATTATTTCCCTAAATGATATAATTTCTGAGATACATTGTTATATAAAAAAGCACAGTATGGGGTAGTATGTATAGTACTCTAAAGTGAAAAATATTTTAACGTTATTATTTTGCACATGTGCAAATATGTATTTAGGAAAATTTCCTAAAATTGGAATTATTAGTACAGAAGCTTTGTGCATTTATAATGTTGCTAGATTTTGCACAGCTGTTCTCCAGAAATATTGTATCAATTTATGCTGCCATCAGTGATGTATAAGAATGTTAAATTATATATCCAACTTCCTGATCTTTGCCAATGTGAAGTTAAAAAAGGTATCTCAGTGTTGTTTTAATTTGTGAGATAGAATCTTTAAATCTGTTTAAAAGCCATTTCTATGAAATATCCATATTCTTTGCCACTTTTTCTATTAGGGTATTTCATCTCCTTTTTTATTTATATGAGTTATTTCTGTATTAGGGACATTAGCCCTTTGTGGTATGGGTAGCAAACCTTTTTGTTAATATACAAAAGCAGCAATAAATAGGTAGCTAGTAGCTATTATATTGGTCAACACAGGCTTAGAAGTAGCCTGCATTATTTACTGATGACCCATATTTCCTTAGAAGGGTGGTTACAAATGGGATAGGATGGGATTTTTTTTTTTTTTTTTTGAAAAGCACGTTGAATATTGTGGTTTTATATTTGGAAAACACAGAAAAAGTTTCATAACATGGGATTTTAAGAAAGTAAAGTTTGATGAAAATCCTCTTAGCTGGTGAGACAGAGTTAAAAATAATTGTGTATCTAAGAATATTGTTAATTTCCAAGTATCATTGACAGTTGTGAAAAATCACAAAACTGTTTTAAACTGAATGCCTCTGTATCATTCCCATTTTTTTCCACTAGGTTACCACCAAAGAACATGATTTTGGTCTAGGGGCTCCAGTTTCTGAAGCTGAAAAATACCAGAATACTCTGCAGCTAGAACAAGAAGTGAGAAATCAAGATAAATTCATCTCTGCACTGAAATTACAGGTTACATTTATTTCCCTGAATTAATTTGAGATGAGGGCCTATTTTAAAACAAGAAGATGGATAATAAATACTAATTCAGTGCTCCTTGGAATTTTATGGGTCTAAAATCATTCCATTTATATCCTAATCATTTTGATACATGAAGATTCAGATATATATGAGTGCAAACTATGTGGAAGTGTTGTGTCCAGTGCTTTTACGTACATAATCTTATTTAATTCCAACCTTGTGAAATAGTGCTGTGATTTCCATTTTACAGACATGGAAACTAAAATTCCAAGAAGCTATAGAATTACATTTGACTAACAAGTGACAAAGCTAGGTAGCATTTGTCTGGACTCCCAAGTTAGCTAGGATTTGAAGCCAGTTCTCTGGAACCCAGTTCCAGGTTTGATATTTGTTTTCCTGGTGCCTGATCTGCGGTAAGGCTACTAATGAAGGCTATTAAAAGAAACTTCCTCTTTTAGGAAGACGGAGTAGACTTACTTTACCCTATTTGTCCCACTTAGTACAACTAAAAATGCTGAACATTTTGTTATAAAACAAACATAAGGACATTCTGAAAGGTGGGCAGGAGCAGGAAGACTGGCTAGGGACCTCAGCATACAATAATTGACATGTTAGTGAATTTCTGGGTTTTCCTTTTGCTCCATGTATCTCATTGCTAGAAAAACTGGCATCTAGAATGGATACAGACAAAAAAAGAACTAGGAAGGGGGCAGTCTAGCAATGTAGACCACTTTTTTTTCTGTCCTGGGTCTTTATAGTTTATATATATTTTTAATCTGGAAACAATCTCAAATTTCTCTAAAAGTTGCAATTACAGAACAAAGAATATCCCCCCTACAATCCCAAACCATTTGAGAGTAAGTTGCAGACCTGATGTCCTGATATCCCTCACATTTGAGTGGGTCTTTCCTATAAATAAGAACACTCTACTACAAGATCACAATACAACCTGGTAAAAATCAGGAAATGAACTTGAATACATTGCTGCCAGCTAATCCTCTGACCCCATTCAAGTTTTTTCCAGTTGTCCCATAACGTCCTCAATAACAAAGAGATCCAGCATCACACATTGCATTTAGCTATTGTGTCCCTTTATCTTCTTCAATCAGGAACATTATTCCTTGATTTTCATGACCACAACACTTTGAAGAATACAAGCCAATTATTTTATAGAATGGCTATTGATTTGGGTTTGTTATGATCATCTTTATGTTATGAACCTTTGGCTGTGTGGAAATCAGCCTTCAAATTGGCCCACCTCTTTTATTCCCACTCTAATACAGTCTCCTTGCACATGGTACCAGCATTGATCTTTGTGACCAAGAGCATAGAGCAGAAGTGTTTAAGTTATAAAGTGATCTCTTGGATCACTTGCTCTATAGGAAGCAAGTTTCCATGTTGTGAGCAGCTCTGTAGATAGGCCCACCTGGAAAGGAACTGAAACAGCCAATAGCCAGTGAGAAACTGAGGTCTACCAAGTATGTTGGGTGAGTTTGGAAGGGGATTCTGTAGCCCCACTTAAACCTTCCTATGGTGACAGTCACCCTGACTGACTCCTTTGACCTAGTGAGAGACCTTAAACCAAAATTACCAAATTAAGTCACTTCAGATCCCTGATAACAGGAAACTGTGACATAATTGTTGGCTTAAGATACAAAATTAATACAGACAGGAATATCACAGAAATGATGGTGGGTTCTTTTCATTGCCTCCTATCAAATAGCACACAATTTCAATTTGTCCCATTACTAATGATCTTTAATTGGATCCCTTGCTTAAAGTGTTATCTTCTGGGCTTTTCTTTCCCTGGTGAAGTTCCTCTTTTTTCTCTACTAATTATTTTTTAATTTTTAATTTTTTAATTAAAGTATAGTTGACACATAGTATTACATTATTTTCAGATATACAGCATAGTGATTTGACAACTCTATACTTCATGCTCTGCTCACCACAAGTGTAGTTGCCATCTGTCACCATACAGTGCTATTATAATACTATTGACTAAATTCCCTACATTTTACCCTTCATCCTTATGACTTACTCATCCCATAAGTGGAAGCCTATACCTCTCACTCCCCTTCACCCACTTTCTCATCTTCCTCCCCTCTAGCAACCATCATTTTGTTCTCTGTATTTATGGATCTGTTTCTAATGAAGACTGTTTGGGGACAATAACTACCTGTTCAAACACCATGAAAAAAACCGTAGCCTCATTCCTGCTGGAAAAATCTGAGTAAAGAGCCTAGACTTCCATCCTTGTCAAGCTGTGACAAGGAGTCTCAGCCATACCTCATGGCTCACCCTCCAAGCCCCCACATCCCACCAAGGTGATATCAAAAAGGCATGCTGGGGAGCCAAGACTGTATTGTCTACTAGGCAGTAAGTATCCCCCACAACCGCCTAGTGTCAGCAAAGACCACATCAGGAGCCTAGATATCCACCCTCACCGAGAGTAACAGGTTTCCCCTTTACTTTTTGTTGATGTGGTTTCAGAGGGGACCACATGCAGATTCAGGATTTTTACTTCCTTCTAGCAGTAACAAGTCCACCCACCCACAGAGTTGGTGGAGAGCACATGGGAACAATAACAAGGTACCTGTATTCTTCCTTACTGTGGTGGTATCAGCAGAGTCCTGGTGGGGACCCTGAACACCCATCCCTGCCTAATAGTAACAAGGACACCAGTCCTCCCCCAGGTATCAACAGAGGCACAGTAGAGAAATTAGACCTCCACCTTCACCTGGCAATAAGAGGTAGCATCCCCGTTTATTAGCTGGAACTAAAGTCACAGAAGTGTGAGAAGAAGCCTACTAAAACACAAGAGCAGATCTCAATGAAAAAAAAAATCACTTCTTATCTCAAAAATCAGGAATATCTCAACCTTAATGAGAAAAGACAACCAGAAGATGCCAACACAGAGGTGAAACAACTATCTCACAAGGATTTTAGATCCATTATCATATACATGCTTCATGCAGTTCTGACCATGTTTGAAACAAGCACAAAGCTAGAAAATCTCATCAAAGAAATAAAAGATATAAAGAAGAACCAAGTGAAAATTTTGGAAGCAACCAAGATGTTCTTCAGTAGGTAAATAGATTAAAAAATTGTGGTATATCTGTACAATAGAATATTATTCCTTGATAAAAAGAAATGAACTATCAAGTCACAAAAAGACATGAAGGAAACTTGAAAGCAAATTGCTAGGTGAGAAAAGCTAACCAAAAAGGTTACATACTCCATGATTCCAACTATTTGACCTTCTGGAAAAGATAAAACAAAGACATTAGAAAGATCACTGATTGCCAGGAATTTGAAGGAAGAAAAGGTGGGAAGGGTAAATGGAGCACAGGTTTTTTTTAGGAAAGTGAAGCTATTCTGTATGATACAGTGGTGGTAGATACATGTCACTAAGCATTTGTCAAAAGCTGTAGAATCTACAACGCAAAGAGTAAACCCTAACATAAACTCTGGACTTTATTTAATGTGTCAATATTCATAAATAAGATGGGAAACTGTCATATGGGGAGAAGGAGTATGTGGGAACTCTCTGTATTTCCTGATTAACTTTTCTGTAAGCCTAAAACTACTCTAAAAGAAAAATGTGTAAGGGCACCTTGGTGGCTCATGCGGTTAAGCATCTGCCTTCAGCTCAAGTCATGATCCTGGGGACCTGGGATCAAGCCACGCATCTGGCTCCCTGCTCAGACTGGAGTCTGCTTCTCCCTTCCCCTCCCCCTGCATGTGTGTGTGTGTCTCTCTCTCAAAAAATTAAATTAAACTTCAAAAAAAAATAAAGTCAATTAAAAATGCACGGGAGAAAATATTTCTAAATCATATAGCTGATAAGGGATTAATATCGAGAATATTTAAAGAACTTTACAACTCAATAATCAAAAAACAAAACAACCCAATTCAAAAGTGGGCAAAGGACTTGAATAGGCGTTTTTCCAAAGATATACAAATGGCAAGTAAGCACATGAAAAGATGGTCAACATCATGATCCATTGAAAAAATGCAAATCAAAACCACAATGTGGTATCATTTCATACCTTTAGGATTGCTGTTATCAAAACAAAATAACAAGTGCAGGTGATGTTGTGGAACAGCTGGAGCCCTTGTGCATTGTTAGTGGTAATATAAAATGGTGCAGCCATGGTGGAAAAAGTTCAGCAGTTCCTGTAAAAGTTAAATATAGAATTACCACATGATTCAGCTATTCCACTCCTAGATATAGCCCCAAAAGATTGAAAATAGGAATTCAGATACTTGTACACTGACGTTCATAGCAGCATGATTTTCAATGGCCAAAAGGTGGAAGCAACCTAGCTGTCTGTCAATAGATGCATAACAAGATGTGGTGAGTACTTACAATGGAATATTATTCAGCCTTTAAAAAGACTGAAATTCTGATGCAATATTGCAACATGGGTGAGACTTGAAAACATTATGCTAAATGAAATAAGCCAGGCACAGAGGGACAAGTATGTGATTCCACTTATATGAAGTACCTAGAATAGGCAAATTCATAGAGGGTTATTGTTTAGTGGGTACAGATTTTGGGATAATTAAAACAAATTCTGGAAATGGATGTGGGATAGTTCCAAAATATTGTGGATGTACTTACTGCCACCAAATCGCACACTTAGGAGTGGTTAAAATAGTAAGTTTTATGTATGTTTTACCATAATGAAAATTTTAAAAAATACAGTAACAAAAACTCAGTGCTCTCAAACAACAGGATGGAAAGGATATAGGAATGAGTTGGTGAACATGAGAATAGAAAATGCAAATAACCTAATCTGAACAGAGAGAAAATGGATTGAAAAAGTGTGAAGAGAGCCTCAGGACAGGTGGGACTATAACAAACGGGTTAATATTTAGATCACTAGAGTCCCAGAAAGAAAGTTAAGAGAGGATCAGACTGAAAAAATATTCAGAGCATTAATGGAATGGAATACTGCCTGGCATACAGTATATTCTAAAATAATAGTTGAACTGAATTTTCAGAAACAAAATTAGGATACAGAAAAGACAGAATGAAAACAAAACCAATAGGTGATGTGTAATAGGCCATAAGCAGAAGAAAATAAAGTAGGAAGCTGAAAATAAAGTGGGAAGGCTAGATATTCTCCAAATTTGGCAAAAGACTTGATATGGATTAAAGAAGATAAGTGAACACCTACCAGGAATCTCTCAAAGAAACCCATGCCAAGACACCTTGTATTCAAACTTGTGAGAACTAAAGACAAAAAAAAGTAATCCTGAAAATAACAGTTCATTACTTATAGGTGAGCACCAATTCAAATAACAGCAGATCTGAAAATGTGGAGGTTGGAAAGAGGTAAAACATGTTATACAGTATTCTGTATTCAGTGAAAGTATCCTTCAGAAATTAATGGAAAATCAAGGCATTTTCAGATAAAGAAATCTAAGATAATTGGTAGACAGCAGAACTATCCTACAAGAATAGCTAAAGGAATTTCTCTAACTAGAAAGGAAGTGATAAAAGAACCTTGAAAGAATAGGAAAGAAAGACAAAGAAGGATATGGCTAAATGCAATACAGTTTCCTTTTTTGTTGTTTTCTAAATTGTGTTTGTCAAACGTAATTCTCAATTACATTGAGATGGATGTGTTGTCAAATGTAATTCTCAATTACATCTAATGGATGTAGATGAAATATTTAAGATAATTATTTTATTAGTAGAGGAGGGTAAAGGGATATAAGGGGTATAAAGGTAAGTAAGTTTTCTACACTTGAGCTGGTAAAATGCTGTGCTAAGTTACAAATAAATTACACTTTGAGCAACCACTAAAAAGCTGTGCAAAGAGATTTCTCAAAAACACTATAAATAATTCAAAATGGAATTTTAAAAAAGTTCAAGTAACCCACAGGAAGGCAGGAAAAACAAAACAAACGACCAAAAAGAAGTCACACTTGAATGTTTTTTTAAACTGAAGTATAGTTGACTCACACTTGAATCTTAATATAACAGTCTAAGTATAACAATTGAAAGACAGAAACTAGTAGACTGGATTAAAAAACCTGATCTAGCCTTAACGCTATCTGTAAGAAATTCACTTCAAATATAACTATACATGTAGGTTGAAAGGTTGAAAGGCATACAAACTGGAGATTAAGAAACAAAACTGTCATCCCTGATGGTAGATGACATGTGTCCTCTACCTAGAAAATTTCATAAAATCTACAGTACAAAACTAGAACTAGCAAATGAGTTCATCAAGGTCACAATATATGTTCATTTTCTTTATATTAGCAATTAACATGTGGAAATCAGAAAATGCAATATCATTTACAATTACTCAAATAGAAAATGGAATCCTTAGATATTTGAAGTATGAACTTATAATCTGAAAACTACAACATGCTAATGAAAAACCAAAGAAGGTCTAAACAAATGGAGCGACATCATGTTTATGGATTGGAAGCCTCAACATAGTAAAGATGTCAGTTCTCTCCAAATCAGTATACATTTAATGCAGTTCTCATCAAAACCCCAACAAAAACAATTTTGAAAAGAATAATAAAGTGGGAAGAGTCATTCTCTTTGGTTTCAAAGCTTATTATATAATTAACAGTAGTTAAGACTGGTATCACTAAAGAGAAAGACACAGATCAATGATACAGAATAGAGAATCCAGAAATACCCTTCCACGAGTAAAACCAGAAGGCTTTTGACAGAAGTGCAAATGCAGTTTAATGCAGGAAAGATAGTCTTTTCAACAAATGGTGCTGAAACAATTGAAAGCGAATCTAGACCTAAACTCACACCTTAACACAAAAAATTAATTCCAAATGGATCATAAATTTAAATTTAAAACATAAAATGGAAACTTTTTAGGATAATACAGAAAATCTTCAGGACCTTGGGCTTGGTGAAGAGTTCTTCGGTGTGACACCAAAAGCATGATTGATAAAAGAAAAATTGATAATTTGGACTTCATCAAAATTTAAATCTTTTGCTTTGAAAAATCCATCTAACAGGATGACAAAACAAGCTACAAATCATATTTTTTCCAGAAGAATCATATGTAAGATACATGAAGAATTATTAAAAATCAGCACTAAAAAGGAACAATCCAATTAGAAAATGAGCAAAAGATGTGAAGAGATATTTCATAGAAGGATATATGTTGATAAGCACATAAAAAGAAGTTCATCCTTTCTAAACATCAGGGAAATGCAGATTTAGACCAAGATGAAACAACAATGCATGCCTATAAGAACAGTTAGGATGGAAAATAGTGACAATACCCAGTGCTGGCAAGGATGAGGAGATCACTCATACATTCCTGGTAGGAATGGGAAATGGTACAACCACTCTGGAAAATAGTTTTGTTCTTTATAAACTAAAGATATATTTATCATATAGCCCAGCAATTGCACTCCCAGGTATGTCAGAGAAATGAAAACTTATGTCCACTCAGATACCTGTATGTGATTGTTCATAGCAGCTTTATTTGTCATAAAGACTGGAAATAACTACAATTTCCCTTAATCAGTAATGACTAAACAAATTGTTAATCCATACCATGGAATATTAGCAACAAAAAGAATGAACAATGCATTCGTGTAACTTGGATAGATCTCAACGACATTATGCTCAGTGAAAAGACAGTGTCAAAAGATCACATACTATGATCTTTATCACATGATTTTACTTATATAACATTCCTGAAAAGACAAAATTATAGAGATTAGTGGCTGCTAAGAGTTAAGGATGGGGAGGGGAGAAGATGTGACTATAAAGGGGTAACAGGAGTGCAATCTTTGTGGTAATGGAATAATTGTATATCTTACCGAGATGCTGACTCTACATGGGATCCCATTGTACCAATGTCAAATCTCTGAGTTTGATATTGTATTATAATTATTTAAGATGGAACTATTGGGAAAAGTGGGTTAAGGGCCAAAGAAATCCTTTTGTATACTTTGTAACTTCCTGTGACTCCTTTGGTTATTTCAAAATAAAAAGGTTTTTTTTAAAAGCTACTTTTTGAGTACCTGTCATCTTCCAGAAATTTTACTTGAACTTTTATACTTGTTATACTTGACTACAATCCTGAAAATTGTAGGTATTCTCTCCATTTAGCAGATGAAAGTCCGGAGGCTTCCATTTATTTTTCCTGAAGTCAGATGCATCTCTTAGGATCAAGAAAATATGGTAAATTTTCAGGATTAAGTAACTGATTAAAGAACTACAATAGGACTTGAACTGGTCTGCCTAATTCCAAAGACTACATCCTTTCTACCACTTGAAACTGCCTCTTCTAAAGTAGTTGTGTCTTGGAATTTAGTAAAAGTGTATGGCTTGATGCTAGAGGTGAGGAGAGTGAGTGTTTAATTTATAATTTATTAGTTTTATTTCATTTAAAAAATTTGAGATTATATGTTAGGTATATAGTAAATGATATAGAAGTTAGAGGTGTGTTAATACTGAAGTTAGAGACAATCGCTTTAAAGTTGCTTAGAATTTAGTGGAAGGGACAGGGAAGTAAATAATAATATATGTTATCAGATACCAAGATTAAATTGTGTAAGAGGCTTTATGGTGGCACAGAGAGGAAAAGCATTTAACCTCTCCTGGTGCAGTGGAAAGTTAGCAAACATTTTTAGTGTGTCCTTATTGCTCAGAAAATATAGCACTGTAGAAGCCATGAACAAAGATAAAAAGACATATGGATAGATATATTGAAGTTTATGTGTGTTTATCCCACATCCTATAGTTTTAAAAAAGATACAAGTAATAAAAATAACTTAGGTAATAAGAATAGGGGAAAATAAACTTAAAGCATGGGACAAGAATAGCAGGCAGAAGATCATTGCACACAGGTTCTGTGCTAGTTGCTAGAGGTGGGTTGCAGGTAGGCTTTAAAATTTCTTGAGGCCAGGGCAAAAAAGGAAACTTTAAATAATTCACCGTATGTCCTGACATACAGTCATTTTCAATGGGTCTAATATATTTTTTTTCCTTTAAAGGCATTTGGATACCTCCGTGATAGAAAAGTCCCTTTTCTTCATCCATTGATGTTTTGATAGTGGGCTGGGAAGGAAAGCTGTGGTCCTCCACATTAGTCAGCAAATACTTGATTGATTTGGTATTTAGCTTAGTCAAGTAAGTTATTGATATGTTCAAAAGAACTTTTTTTTTTTTTTGAGTTAACATATTTTGGTAACAAAAATTAGAAATTTAATTCTGAAGAACATTAATTGGTATTAAAATTAAGTAATTTCAAGACTGGTTTCTTTTGTGTAGATATAAATATTTGGCCATTTTTCTAATAGTTTTGGCTAAAAAGAAATAGTAATTAAGTTTATTAATTGTAAATTGTTTTGGAAGATGTAGCTATAAACCTTTTTGAATTTTCATTTAATGTGTTTTTTTCAGATAGGTATTACATTCACATGGTACAAAATTCAGAAAGTGAAAAATATATATATAGTTAGGTCTCCTTCTAGGGATGCAAACCTCCTTTCCTGATTCTAGTCGCCTGCTTGTTCTCCTCAGAGGGAAGCAAAGGAAATATTGTAATATGTCTATTTTCTTTCTAATTATAACAGATTGAAGATCTCAAACAGACAAATCATGGCTTGGAAGAATATGTTAGGAAACTCTTGGATAGTAAGGAGGTGGTAAGCAGTCAAGTAGATGATTTAACCAGCCACAATGAGCATCTTTGTAAAGAATTGATTAAAATTGACCAACTAGCAGAGCAACTAGAAAAAGAGAAAAATTTTGTGGTGGATACCGCTGACAAAGAACTTGAAGAAGCAAAGGTATTACATTTACCACAATAGGATTTTTTATTGAGTTCTAACTGATATATAGTATTGCATTAGCTCAAGTTGTACAAAATAATGATTCAGTATTTCTATATATTGTGAAATGATCAGTGCAGTAATTCTAGTTAGGATTTTAATTCTACTCTAAACATCATGCAATTATTGAATGCAATAGAGTGATGTTCACATTTATATCATTTGACAGTTTTTTAGATTTGAAATTACATTTAAATATTTAGGGATTAAATTGTATTGCACGTTTTATTTCTTTTAAAAAGTTTTGCTCAAAAAATTTCCAAAGTAATATGTAGTCATGATAAAAACTGGCAGGCAATAGGAATGTTCTGTATGGGCCATATATATATACATGATGGAAGATTGCTCAGCCATCAAACAGGGTGAAATCTTGACATTTGCAACAACATGGATGGAACTAGAGGGTATTATGCTAAGCAAATTAAGTCAGAAAAACAAATATCTTATGATTTCACTTATATGTGGAATTTAGGAAATAAAACATATGGGAAGGGGAGAAAAAGAGAGGGGGAAGTACACCATAAGAGATTCTTAATGATAGAGAACAAACAAGGTTGATGGAGGGAGGTGGGCAGGAGATGGGCTAAATGGGTGATGGGGTTTAAGGAGGGAACTTGTTATGATGAGCACTGGGTGTTATATGTAAGTGATGAATCATTAAATTCTACTCCTGAAACCAGTGTCACACTGTATGTTAACTAACTAGAATTTAAATAAAAATTTTGAAGAAAAGCAGGAATGTTTTGTATATAGGACATTTCTCTTCCTTCCTAATTCTTCTCTCCTCTGCAGAAATATCTACCAACAAATAGATGATACATGTATTTCCATCCTTTTTTTCTGTTTTCACACCCATAATTTATTTCACACTTTAAAAAGGTTTTCTTAATCAAAGTTTTAAATTTTTGTGTAGTAAAATTTGTCAATCTTTACTGACTTTGAGTTTTGATTCTTTTATCTTTTCAAGGTCCTCCCCTTTTTTAAAAATTTGAATAACTTTATTTTTAGAGCAGTTTTAGGTTTATAGCAAAATTAAGCAGAATGTATAGAGATTTCCCATATACCCCTGGCCCTACATATGGACACCCTCCCTGTTAGCAACATCCCCCACCCAAGTGATACCTTTGCTAAAATTGATGAACCTACATTGACTCATCATTATAACCTAGAGTCCATAGTTTACATTAGGGTTCACACTTGGTGTTATATGTTCCAAGAGTTTGAACAAATGTAGAATGAAATGTGTGTACCATTATGGTATCATGCAGAGTAATTTCACTGCCCTAAAAATCCTCTGTTCTCCACCTAGTTTTGATTCTTGTTTAGGAAGATCTTCTCACCTCAAGAACTCAAGAATATTTTCTACATTTTTAAATACTTTTTAATATTTTTGTAAGTTTTAATCCTGGAATTTCTTCTTGTTCTAGTAATAGGTAGGGTTGGATAGTCCTTCCTTTAGTCACTGATTTGAAATGCCATTTTAATAATTACTAAATTCTCATATGTGCTTGGATATGTTTCTGGATTATTTGATTTCATAGACTTCTTTATGTGCTGTTATCTGTGCCACCATCACATTATTTTAGTTAATGTAGCTTTATGATATTTTGATAAACATTTTATTTCTTGATTGAGTTTTTAGTACTCTGCCATGAAATTTAGAAACTAGGAACATTAAGAAACTTCACATATCATAAACTTTGATTTATATTATAACTAAGCTATACTTGAAATTATGAGATAAAAATGTTTGACATTTGAGGTCAGTAAGGTTAGGGTAATTTGTTATCTAGGAATAGAAAATAAAATAGTAAATACTCAAAATATTTTAATGTAAAAAATGTTGGAAATTATAACTTCACACAATTATAATTTTTATTGCCTAACAGTTTATAAGCAAGATACAATGTATTTCAAAGCCAGAGTGAACCTACTGAATTTTTTTTTTCTTCTTTCGAAGATTTTATTTATTTATCTGACAGATCACAAGTAGGCAGAGAGGCAGGCAGAGAGAGGAGGAAGCAGGCTTCCTCCTGAGCAGAGAGCCCAATGCGGGACTCGATCCCAGGACTCTGAGACCATGACCTGAGCTGAAGGCAGATGATTGCTACTAAAGTATTTGAAGGACATTAAAAGGTAGCTTGAATATTTTAAACATTTTTCAATAAATTCTTTTTGTTTATACTGTTTCTTTTAAAAATAGTTATCCTTCATTAACAATTTAGTGTCAAATTAAGTTCAGTCTTAATAATAAAAATTATCAAGATGCTTAGGTGGCTCAGTTGGTTAAGCATCTGCCTTCAGCTCAGGTTTTGATCCCAGGGCCCTGTGATTGAGTCCCCATTGGGCTTCTTCCTTGGAGGGGACCCTACTCCTCCCTCTGCATGCCACTCCTCCTACTTGTGCCCTCTTTCTCTCTCTCTGACAAATAAATAAATAAAATCTTTAAAAAATAATAAAGATTATCAAATTAAAGAATACTGGGTTAAAGTTTTATTTTCTTTCTTGTTTTCTTCCTCAAATTAAAAATTATGTTGCTTCCCAGTCTAGGGTGCCTAGTTGGCCAAATTCCCCTGAAGAGAGTACCCAGTTTCGAAGTCATCAATTTTAAAGGATTCTTAAAATCTGTGTTAGAGAGTGAGTACTCTGTCTGGGTGAAACTTCTGCTATCAAAAAGAGAATTTAAGGAATGGGAAAGATTTAAAATAAAAGAGCTAGGATTTACCTAAAACTGAATATGTTAAGCCCATAGATGGAAATTCTGCCTAGCTTCAAAAAGAGCATTTCTAGGAAATAGACATTCACATATGATGTGGAATGTTTGGTATATCTGAGAACTGGAAAGCTTGAGTAGAGATAGCATTGCTGATGCAGGAAAGACATTGAATAATAAATAAAGAGGGGATAAAATGGGTTGTTTGAACGTACTGAAATGAAATCACCAACCTCAGTAAGTGAATGTTACAGGTAGAATGGGGAGTAGAAAGTACATGACCAGTGTTGGGGATATGAACACCAGTGCATGTTGTCATCATCCTTATGTCATTGGGTATGTAGTTTAGGTATCCAATTACTGGGGAGAGATTCCTTGTCTGATTTGTGGGATGAAGCTTGAAACAGAATTTCTGATTTGAGAGTTGAGAAAGAATATTTGTGTTCCTGTACTCTTTGGGCTTATGCTCTAGAGAGGTAGAGTTTGAGGTTAAGTCAGTTTGTCTGGAATTGAGGTAGATAATATTAAGTGTATTTATTTGCAAGAGTTTACTTTTAGTCATATTTTTAAAGGTCAAGAGAATGACTTCTTCCATCATTTATTACATTAAAATGTATTGAATATTTACTATTTTATTTTCTATTTATGTGTAACAAATTACTCCTAAATGTTAGTGGCCTCAGATAACAAACATTTGTTTCTCATAGTTTCAAGTATAGCTTAGTTAGCTGGGTAGTTTTGGTTTACCGTTTCTCAGGAAATTGTAATCAAATGGTTGCCAGTCTGTAGTCATGGCTTGATGGGTACTGGAGGGTTTGCTTTTAGATAACATACTCAGATGACTGTTGGCTTTTGGTGGGAAGCTTCAGTTCCTTGACAGGTGCACCTCCTTTAAGGTTGTTGGATAGTTTTATATCGGCTTGCTTCCCCTGAGCCAGTCATCCAAGATAGGCAGAAAGGAGGAATCTGCAATGCCTGTTATGATTGTCTCAAAAGTTACAAACCATCATATCCTGTTCACTAGAAGTGAGTTACTAAGTATATGCCACACTTAAGGGGAAGGGAATTAAGCTCCATCATTTGAAGTAAGGAATATCAAAATTTATGAATGTATTTTAAAACCACCAGAATTATATGCCTGCTTTTATCTTCTCATTTTGAGGTTTTTTTTAATCATTCATATTTTAATAATACAGTGTTTCTCAGCTGATTCAACATAAATTTTTGAAATAAGCAGAATTGCGATTTTACCATTACTAGTTTCTTCATACAATTTATATTTTAATTAACATAAGGGCTATTCTTGGACTGGATCTTTGATAGCTCTTGTCATTGTTACATTGGTATTTGTTTCATTAATCAAAAATATTTCAAAATTTACCATTGAAAGATAAAGTGTAAGGCTATTTAAGTTCTTCCTCCCCTCATGCTGATTCCCCCTCTTCCTTCCCTGCTTTATTTTACTCTGTAGTACTTTCCAACTACTTTTCCCTATGCACACTCTACTCCAGCCACACTAGCTCCTTACTATTCCTTGGAATTTAGCTGACATTCTTTTACCTTAGGGCATTTGCTTTTATTGTATCTTCTGCCTGGAATGTTCTTTCAGATTTTTATATAGTTGATCTCCTTTCTCTCTCTCTCTCTCTCTTTTTAAATATAATAATCTTTTTTTTAAATTTCTTTACAGTGTACCAGAATTCATTGTTTATGTACCACACCCAGTGTTCCATGCAATACATCCCCTCCATAATACCCACCACCAGACTCACCCAACCTCTCACCCCCCACCCCTTCAAAACCCTCAGATTGTTTTTCAGAGTCCATAGTCTCTCATGGTTCATCTCCCCTTCCAATTTCCCCCAACTGCCTTCTCTTCTCCATCTCCCCATGTACTCCGTGTTATTCCTTATGCTCCACAAATAAGTGAAACCATATGATAATTAGCTCTCTCTGCTTGACTTATTTCACTCAGCATAATCTCTTCCAGTCCCATCTGTGTTGATACAAAAGTTGGGTATTCATCCTTTCTGATGGAGGCATAATACTCCATAGTATATATGGACCACATCTTCCTTATCCATTCGTCCGTTGAAGGGCATCTTGGTTCTTTCCACAGATTGGTGATTGTGGCCATTGGGGTACAGATGGCCCTTCTTTTCACTACATCTATATCTTTGGGGTAAATACCCAGTAGTGCAATTGCAGGGTCATAGGGAAGCTCTATTTTTAATTTCTCAAGGAATCTCCACACTGTTTTCCAAAGTGGCTGTACCAACTTGCATTCCCACCAACAGTGTAAGAGGGTTCCCCTTTCTCCACATCCTCTCCAACACACATTATTTACTGTCTTGTTATTTTTGGCCATTCTAACTGGTGTAAGGTGGTATCTCAATGTGGTTTTGATTTGAATCTCCCTGATGGCTAGTGATGATGAACATTTTTTCATGTGTCTGGTAGCCATTTGTATGTCTTCATTGGAGAAATGTCTGTTCATGTCTTCTGCCCATTTTTTTACATGATTATCTGTTTTGTGTGTGTCAAGTTTGAGGAGTTCTTTATAGATTCTGGATATCAGCTTTTTGTCTGTACTGTCATTTGCGAATATCTTCTCCCATTCTGTGGGTTGTCTCTTTGTTTTGTTGACTCTTTCCTTTGCTGTGCAGAAGCTTCTGATCTTGGCAAAGTCCCAAAAATTCATTTTTGCTTTTGTTTCTTTTGCCTTTGGAGACATATCTTGAAATAAGTTGCTGTGGCTTATATCGAAGAGGTTACTATGTTCTCCTCTAGGATTCTGATGGATTCCTGCCTCACATTGAGGTCTTTTATATCCATTTCAAGTTTATCTTTGTATAAGGTATAAGAGAATGGTTGAGTTTCATTCTTCTACATATAGCTGTCCAATTTTCCCAGCACCATTTATTAAAGAGATTGTCTTTTTTCCACTGGATATTTTTTCCTGCTTTGTCGAAGATTATTTGACTGTAGAGTTGAGGGTCCATATCTGGGCTCTCTACTCTGTTCTACTGGTCTATGTGTCTGTTTTTGTGCCAGTACCATCCTGTCTTGGTGATCACAGCTTTGTAGTAAAGCTTGAAATCAGGCAGCATGATGCCCCAAGTTTTGTTTTTCTTTTTCAACATTTCCTTAGCAATTCTGGGTCTATTCTGATTCCATATAAATTTTAGGATTGTTTGCTCCAGCTCTCGGAACTATAAACTTCCAAAATTGAACCAGGAAGACCCCCTTTCTCCTTGTTCACAGGTCTCCTTTCAAAGAGGACTTAATTGATAACCCTATTTAAAATTCCAACCTATTCCTTCATAAACACTCCCAATATCCTTAACTCTCCTTTTTTTTTTTTACCCTAATGTACTATATAATTTATTTGTTAGGTTTATTTTTCATTGTCTGTCCAGATGGAATGTAAGGTCCACAAAGGTAGGGATCTTTGTTTATTTTTTTTATCTCAGTTGCTTAGAACAGATGTGAATGCTCATTATGTATTTTTTTTAATAAGACAGTAACTGTCTGATATATATTTCACCTGTTAGCTTTTTCTTTTCTTTTCAGCTAGAATATAAGTTCCATGAGGGCAGAGGTTTTCTTTTTCTTTTTTTTAATTTAAATTCACTTAATAACATAGAGTGTATTATTAGTTTCAGAGGTAGAGTTCAGTGACTCAACAGTGTTATATAACCCAGTACTCATTATATCACATGCCCTCATTAATGCCCATCACCCTGATACTCCTCCCCTTCAGCAACCCTCAGTTTGTTTCGTATGGTTAAGAGTCTCTTATGGTTTGTCTTCCTCTCTGATTACATCTTATTTTATTTTTCCCTCACTTCCTCTATGCTCCTCTGTTTTGTTTCTTAAATTCCACACATGAGTGAAATCAAAAGACAACTGTCATTCTCTGATTGACTTATTTCACTTAGCATAGTACCCTCTAGTTCCATCCATGTTGTTGCAAATGGCAAGATTTCAGTTTTTTGATGGCTGAGTAATATTCTGTTGTTTATATATACCACATCTTTATCCATTCATCTGTTGATGAACATCTGGGCTCTTTCCATAATTTTCCTACTGTGGACATTGCTGCTGTAAACATTGGGATGCAGATGGAAGGCAGAGGTTTTTGTCTATTTTATTCACTGCTATTCCCAGCATATAACACAATGTCAGGTACATAGTAGGTCCTCATTAATCGTTTGTCAGATAAATGAAAACACTGGGTTAACATCTTTTCATTTGGGCTAGTTATAATTTTGTTTTTCAGAGTAGAATCAGCATTATGTTTTTGGTTTTTTAATTTTTTATTTATTTTTTAAATTTCTTTTCAGTGTTCCAGAATTCACAGCATTATGTTTTTTTATGTCTGTAATAGTAATACATGTTTATCATAAAAATTTAATTTCATATAGAGGAGTATAATGAAGAAAATCACATCTTACTATAATTAGACGTAATCTTATCTTGCTGAGTGTACATATTACTGGTTATGTTCCATCTGTATCTATGATATGTGTGTATAAATTTCCTTTTTACAACAATATGTCAGATAAAATTTTTGGCAGTGTGAGTTTTTATACCTAATTTAATGTGGGCACCTTTATACATAATTTAATATAGATCCAGTTTTTTTGGCATCTACATAATAGTGTAAGTTAAAGCGTTGAAAATTCCCTATCCAAAACTGTATAAGCTTATCCAAACTATACATAAGTTTTGTTTCATACCATTGCCCCTTAGTATTTCATGGATTACAAAAGATATGACTTTCAGAGAAATCTTAGAAAAGAATTTGGGTCTAAATAACAAATGAGGAGCAATAATTCCAGAAAAGTTAAATTTAAAATATAGCAGGAAACAGTTTAGAATAATGAGTGGATGGTTTATGAATTGAAAAATAAGTTTATTAAACTAATATGCATTTATAGCATAGATTATATCAAATAAATCTTTGCATGAAAACATAGTCACTGTCTTCTAGAGACATAGAATCTAGTCATATACTAACTACATGACTACGGGTAGCTATACTGTAAGACCGGGTATGTTCAATGTCCTAAAACTGATACAAAAAGTATTTTATAGGTTTGATTGAACTAAACTATTAAAAGAGTTCAGAAGAGAAAGCAGTCACTCTGACTTTGGTGATTTGGGAATACTTTTATCCTGCTCATTCTTTTATCTCTTCCCTATTATCATCTTCAGAATTTTAATTAGTATTGACATTTTATTGCAGTTTGTAGGGAGTAATTTGGTAAAATATAACCAATTACTATTTCATAACAAACTTGGGTTAATGGAAAGGAACTGCTATATTTCATTCTATGTTCTTTTATCATCCAAAGGCAGGTGAACAGAAAGGCTAGATTACCATTTCTTTTGTAAATTATTCACTACATGATTTTATTTTTAAGTGGCTTCCCTTTTTTAGTTTTTAATTTAATTTTATTTTTTCATCATGGTAAGTGTACTATTTAATCTCCATCCCCTCTTTCACCTACCTCATCCACCCTCCCACTCTGGTAACAGTTTGTTCTCTATGGTTAAGAGTCTGTTTCTTGGTTTTTCTCTCTCTCTTTTTTTCCACTTAGCTCATTTATTTTGTTTCTTAAATTCCACATATGAGTGAGATCATATGGTATTTGTCTTTCTCTGACTTTTTTTGCTTAGCATTATACTCTAGAACTCCATCTGTGTCATTGCAAATTGCAAGACTTCATTCTTTTTATGGCTGAATAATATTCCATTTGTGTGTGTGTGTGTGTGTGTGTGTGTGTGTGTGTGTGTGTATGTATGTATATATAACCACATCTTTATCCATTCATTTATCAATGGACACTTGAGCTGTTTCCATAATTTGGCTATTGTAAATAATACTGCAGTGAACAGACGGGTTCTTGTATCCCTTTGAATTAGTGTTTTTATATTTTTTGGGTAAATACCCAGTAGTGTGATTATTAGATCATAAGGTAATTCTAATTTTAATTTTTTGGAAACCACCATACTCTTTCTGCAATGTCTGCACCAGTTTGCATTCCCACCAACATAAAAATTCCTTTTGGTCCACATCCTTGCCAGTACCTGTTTCAAGTGCCTTCCTTTTTTGGTGTTCTCTTTTTAATCTGTTTAAATATTTTTAATCTAAATAACCTTTTTTTTCTGGCTTATTTTTCAGATTGAACTCATTTGCCAACAAAATAATATAATAGTATTGGAAGATACAATAAAAAGGCTTAGATCTGTAAGTACATTTTATACACATTTAAGTTGCGGAGTCATTTTTATTCTGTTAGACTGTGAAAAATGGTGTATGTGTTTTAGTTCTCCTGCATTTTGTGAACATTAAAAAATGTCTGCTTTCTAAAATCAGCACTCTGCTTGGTGCACAGGGGCGCTTCCCATCTGTAAGAGCATTGCTGTTCTCGCTCCATTTCATCGTTAGGCCTTTCTTTCCCAGAGGTGGAGAGAACTTTGGTTGGTTTTATTAGTACCCTTAGCTGTTACTTGATTTAAAATGATGACCATGATTAATTTAATTCTCAAAATATAAGATGCATTTGTTTACACATTAACTTTTATCCCTCTTAGTAATAAATATTAAATCAGATGTTGTAAGTTAATTCAGAGTAGTGAGTTTTCTTTTTCTAACAATGTGAAATGAAAACTCCTTTTAGACTGTTTAATGTTATCATTTAAAATATTTGGAACACCCTCTCTGAAAGCATATCGGTAATTTTCTCCCAATAAAGTATTGGTAAAATAAAGATTGTAAAAGAAAAAATGCTTTTAAATACATTAAGGTAAATGAGAATGTACTTGAAAGTGTATACAAGTATAAAATATCCAGCATTCATTTAATTTATTCATTCATTGAACAATTATTGAACAAAACTTAGATGCTGTAAACAGAAGCTTTAATATTAGCATACAAGTTTCCTAAGCAAATTAATTCAATTTCTAGGACTTACGACTAGATCTGTGTGCATTTCTGTCCCCGAAATTTCTTTACCATTTTTCCTTAAAATTATTGAGTAAATTTAAGGGTTCTTTCAGTTAAATAAAAATATAGAACATTCACAAATGCTAGAAAAAGAAGGCAGCTAACTGCTTTTTAAAGAGTACTGATGAATTATCTTCTAAAATACCAAGTTTATTATTTTTAAGGATCCTGTTTATTCAATTTTCATATAGAAAATGATGCTATAGTGTAGCTTAAAATAATAACCTAATTTTTTCCTCCTTGGCAAGATAATTTTAGAGTCTGAAAAAGCACAAAATAAATCTCCTTCCAGACTTGATTCCTTTGTCAAGACTTTAGAAGCAGACAGAGATTACTACAAGAGTGAAGCTCAAAATTTGAGAAAGATGATCAGAAGTAGATCTAAAAGTCCAAGACGCCCATCTCCATCTTCCCGGGTAGGTTTTGGAAACTTACAAATATTTTGGAGTTTGTTGCTCAAACACTGACTTTTATTCTTTGATTTACCTAATATGCAAACAATTCATTTTGATTTGGCATGAATTGATATATCCAAGAATTGGGAAGACAGAGATCTCTTTCATGGCACAGTGGACCATTGAATTTGGTTCTGTATCCCCAGTATTGGTAGTAGTTGGGAGGTAATCAGATAAATGTGGACCAGTTTGGGACGAAGCTGTTTAAAAGAGAAGTGATTTTTTTAAACTTTTTTTTTTTTTTAAATCATTTCTTTTCATTGTATCGTCATGTTTGATTGAGTAGAGATTGTGTAGTGCTGTTTTTTTAGAGCCACGTGTCAAAGAAGAATTTCAGATTTCTTATATAATAATCATAGGGTACAAACTGTGATGTAGAGCTTTTGAAGACAACAAGAGACCGTGAAGAACTAAAATGCATGCTGGAAAAATATGAGCGTCATTTGGCAGAAATTCAGGGTAATGTCAAGGTTCTTACATCTGAGAGAGACAAGACCTTTCTTCTTTATGAACAGGTAAATTTATTTATAAATAACATATCTAATGATATTCAATTTTTGAGATATGTAATTTTTTAAGTTCTATAAGAATGCTTAAATCTGCCAATCAAATTAACCTAACATTTGGGAATTACTTTGTTCTTAAGGTATTCTTAATGAAATGTAATGTATTTACGATACAGTAAGTGTATGTGTACAAACACAAATATACACGTTTTTCCTTATATCCAAAAAAGATCATATACATGTATAGAAATAGTCTGATTTTTGGCATGAGAAATGAAGAAATTGTTAAATGACAGGAAATGGTGAGTTCAAGGTAAACTTGAGATTTGGGGTTAGAAAATGCTAACATTACTTTGATATCAATCACTTTAGGAAATGCCTATAATTTTCTTAATTTAGGAGAGTAAAATCAGTTTATAGTTTATACCCATTTTTAGCTTAGTTATATATATAGCCCTTATAATCATTTAGCTTATTTACTCAACAAATATTAAACCTCATAAATCACTAACAATTTCTTTTAAAAATATCAAATTTTATTGAGAATTATCACTATCAGGGGTGCTTGGGTAGCTCAGTCGGTTAAGCATCTGCCTTTGGCTCAGGTCATGATCCCAGGGACCTGAGATGGAGCCCAGCATCTGGCTCCCTGCTCTGCAGGAGGCCTGCTTCTCCCTCTCCCACTCCTCCTGCTTGTGTTCCCTCTCACTGTGTCTCTATCAAATAAATAAAATCTTAAAAAAAAAATTATCACTACTGTATGCGGGGTTCTGAGCTTGCCACTCTAAGAGATAGAAAAAAATGATAAAATACCAACACTGTTTTCTATGTTCACAGTCTACTTGGGGAGATAAAGTATAGTATAGTATAAAGTATAGTCTTATATGTATTTTTTATTACTTAAGTATAAGTAGTCCAGAAGATGTTGTAACAAAAGAAGTGGGTATTTTTAGTTGTTGTGATTAAGGAAATCTTTGCTAGATGATATGGAATTTGAGTCCTAAAGGAAGAAAGGAGTTCCTATTATCCTGAAAGGGGTAAGGAACATTCCAGACCAAAGGAATAGTGAGAGGCAAATGATAAAGGCAGGAAAATCAGTAGATAAATGGATCGGGTTAAGATTAGACTAAAAGCTATATGCCATTGGAGTAAGGAGGAGCTAAGGCTTGAGAGGTAAATTGAACTAGAACCTAGAGAAGGGGTCTGCAAACCTTTTCTGTGAATGCCAGAAAATAAGTATCTTGGGCTCTGCAGGCCACACAGTTTCACAGCTATTCAACTCTGTTGTGGTGTGAAAGTAGGCTATAGACAATTAACAAATGAATGAGTTTAGCTGTGTTATAATATAACTTTACTTTTGAACATGGAAATTTGAATTTCATATTATTTTTACTTATGATACATATTATGAAATCTGTTTGTTTTTTTGATCATTTTTTAAAAGTGTAAGAAACATTCTCAACTTACAGACTTACAAAAACAGGAGGCAGGCTGGATTTGGCTTGTGAACTACATGTAGTTTGCCAACTTCTGAAGTACATGTAGAGGCTGTTTAATGGGCTTTATAAGGGGTTTATACTTTGCTTTATAAGCAATGGGCAGTCTGTTTTTTGTTTTGTTTTGTTTTGCTTTGCTTTGCTTTTTTAGGACAGAAGAAATGACCAATGCCCCATTTTTACAATTTAAACCTGTTAACAATTTTATATTATCTGTTTCATAATCTTTTTGTGTTACCTTTTTATAACAATTTTTCTTTCAAGAGAATTGGAGGAAGGGGAAATTGTGGATTCTTTAGAAGGCTGTGAAAGCAGTCCATGCATGAGGCATTAAGAACTAAACTAGCATGCTATCAGTGGAAGTAAGGATAGGGAGAGATGCAATAGATACTGTAACAGAAGCCTTGACAAGATTTGATTTTAGCAAAAAGGAGGGATAAATGGACCTCACTGAAATTCTTTTTTGAATGACTGAAGAATTTTGGTAGTAGAAAAAGAAATAGTGAAGCCATTTGTGATTTGAGGGAAAAGATGTATTATTTTCAGACAGATGGAGTAAGATGATGGTCATACAATCAGGTGGTAATTGCATTTAGGCAGAAGAGAATGTGGGACTACAGTGGGGAGAGAGGTAAGAACTGAATATGTAGATGGGGAATTCATCTTCTTAGAGGTGACTTTGTGGCCTTCAGAGTGGATGAGGTCTCTGAATGGGAAAGCTATAGAGGAACAGATGAAATGTTGGGATTTTTTTTTCCAATTAGTATGGGAATATTTAAAAGAATAAGAAGATAGGAAACTAAAGTAGAAAAATATTAAGCTCAAGGAAGGAATGAGTCTAAAATAGGGTGTTGAAGATAATGTCAAATGTTGCCAAATATTAAAAATGGGAACTGAGAAAAGGCCATTTGGTGAGGTCATTATTTGAAATTCTGCAAAGAGATAGGTATAGGAGCCAAGTAGTTTACACTGGGGTGGGATGGTAGGTGCTGAGGAACAGGCAAATGGGTACAAACCATAGTGCAAAAAAAAATATATATATATGTCTAATGCAAAAGAGATATGGGATGGTAAATGGGGCAGCAAGGTTAAATGACAGTTTTTTAAGATATGGGAGCCATGTGTTGTGGTAGAGGGAGGGGAGAGCCAGTGGAGAGGGTGGTATTCAAAGTGAGAGGAAATAATTATACAGCTGAGTCTTGAACAAGGTGGAACTAGGGGTGCCAACCCTCCTGCACAGTTGAAAATCTGTTTGTTTTTTTTTTAAGATTTTATTTATTTATTTGTCAGAGAGAGAGAGAGAGGGTGCACAGGCAGGCAGAGTGGCAGGCAGAGGCAGAGGGAGAAGCAGGCTCCCTGCCAAGCAACGAGCCCTGTGTGGGACTTGAACGCAGAACACTGGGATCATGACCTGAGCCAAAGGCAGCTGCTTAACCAACTGAGCCACCCAGGCGTCCCATGGTTGAAAATCTTTGTATGACTTTTGACTCCCCCAAATTTAATTGCAACTAACCTACTGTTGACCAGAAGCTTGCTGATAACATAGTCAATTAACACATTCCTTATGTATGTATTGTACACTTATTCTTCCAATAAAATGAGCTAGAGAAGAGAAAATGTTGGTAAGAAAATCATGAGGAGGAGAAAATACTTTTACAATACTATACTGTATTTGTTGAAGAAGTATGTGTTTAAGTTCAAACCCATGTTTTTCAAGGGTCAACTCTAATTGAGTCAGGATTATCTTAGAAAGCATTTTAGGCATTTTAGGAGATGAGATCCAGGATTCTGGCCAAAGTTTTGCTATGGAAATTAGAAAGTAATATATCTTCCTCTGAGACTTGTAGGCCAGCTGAATAGGTAGTGATCAAAATTAAGAAAGATCAGGGACTTTTAAGGAGTCCAGTAGGATATGAAATCATCTGTAGGTGTGGAATAGCTTTAGGACCTGAGGATGGTTGAACAAGTATGAGAGAGTATATTGGGTTGTCAGTAAGGATTGATGAGACTTCTGTCAGGATAGAAGTAGCCAGGACATGGAAATGGCATATATGTTTATTAGAGAAAGATAGGAACACTGTAATATTTATTAAAATAGTATTTTACCAGAATTTTGCTGAATTCAAATTTATATCACGAAACATTAGTAAAACATTCTCTCTTATATTGACTTCCTCCAAATTAATTTAAAAATTTTTGGCAAAGATATTATAAACCAGACTTTTATTTTTATACATTCACTTGCATTTTTGGACATCATTTGCCTTTATATAAACTCATTAAAAAAACATTATCCCGTTGCATGCATTTTTATAAATGGTTTGTATTTTAACTAGCTGGATATAAGATTGCTGTATTTATGTCTGTTCTAAAACTTGTTAAATAGAAGTCTGTGTATTTAAATAATAGGCACAGGAAGAAATTGCCCGACTTCGAAGAGAAATGATGAAAAACTGTAAGTCTCCTAAATCAACAACAGCACATGCCATCCTCCGCCGGGTGGAGACTGAAAGAGATGTGGCCTTCACTGATTTACGAAGAATGACCACAGAACGAGATAGCCTGAGGGAAAGGCTAAAGGTTTGGATGAATTTTATCAGTATGACCATTTGTGAAACACCGTGTAGCAACACTGAAAACATTTTGTTTTGTTTTTGTTTTTTAAACAGATTGCCCAAGAGACAGCATTTAATGAGAAGGCTCATTTGGAACAAAGGATAGAAGAGCTGGAGTGTACAGTTCATAATGTAAAGAAAAATCACTTTTGTTTTCAGCTATAAACTGTCAATAGCTTCCCCATTTTCTTTGTTTTTTTCTATGTTCAGAGAAGTTCTTTTATTTTTCTGAGATAGTGTTAATAATCCTAAAACATTTAAGGTAGTATGTGTAGTATAAATTATCACTTTTTCATTGTTTATGTCCTTCCAAAAAATGTAAGTAAAGTCTTTTTTCTTTTAGGTTGCAAAATGTGTTCTTTAAAAAAAAAAATCCATTAGGAATACATCTGTGGGATTTTAGCAGCTTTCTCATCTCTGTCTTTCATTAAACATAACATTGCCAGATACGGAGAAACTGGCTTATTCTATCTAAAGTGTAGATAAGGTAGAAGAAATTATTATGACATGAAAATTAATGAGAAGAATATATTTAAACTGAATTTAAATGTGAAGCATCACCTTTTTACTAATCAAGAATTCTAGATGCTATGAATTTGAGATGTTATGACTATATAAACACTTTGAGTTCTGTTATCAAATTTAATTGAATATATTTATACATTCATCTGTGTTGTTATAATGAGAATAAAAAGCGTTATTTAGGAGAGAAAAAATATTTTTTCATAATTCTACTTTATATGTATAACTTATTAATGTTGAACAATAAATCCTTTTGCAAATAAGATATATATACTACAGTCAAAATGAACCATATTGAAAATGTAGATACATGTAGTGTGATAGGCTCTATGCACAGATTGTGCAGTGGTTTGTTCTTGTTCCTATTCCAAAATACCTTGCCCATATAGCCTCCCACAACATTCAGGTCTAATCTGATCATCTCCTGGTGTAAATCTTGTCATATGCCACAGTTTGCACAGAAAGGATGTCTCTTTAGGAAGATTTTGTTGGTGGTGGCAGTAACCTTGTCGTTCTACTTGCATAGCTTGATGATGAACGTATGGAGCAAATGTCAAATATGACTTTGATGAAGGAAACCATAACCACTGTGGAAAAAGAAATGAAATCACTAGCAAGAAAGGCAATGGATACTGAAAGTGAACTTGGCAGACAAAAGGCAGAGAATAATTCTTTGAGGTAAATTACTTTTAGTTTACTATAACTACTAGATCTGCTTTTTGTAGAGTATTTTATAATGATAATTAAGTTATTTGTTGACTTTAATTTCTGAGAGGATTATTATGAAGGAGTTGTAGAAGTCTCAGCATACATTAATTGATATCCCAAAGATCACTTACAGACTAGTAATGGCATACTTAACTAGCAATCAGACTTCTAGTAATCATCTTACATTTGCAGAAAGCCTAATGTTTAACTGAAGTACCTTTCACAACGTCCTTCTGGGTACAGAGCATATTTGACTTTGGCATTTGAGTACGTAGGAAAATGTAATGGAACTTCTTTTAATTGAATGCCAAGTAGGTTCTTAGCCCTTCCTACATACTGGTATGGTAGCAGAAGAAATTCCAATTAAAGCAACCTACAGTAGGCAATAAATATAAGGGAATAAGTTTTTGAAGACCATGTTAGCAGTTTTAGTGTCTGTTGATACGAAAGATAAAGCTCTACAAATTCAGTAATGTTGAATTATAGTGCATCAGTGAACCTTTGAAAAATAGTAGTTCATATGAGTATGAAATATTAAGTCTACAGATAATAACTTGGTTCACATAAGAGTTCCCAGATTCCCCTCTTTGATCATTCAGGGGTCTGTGGTGTGTATGTTGAAATGATTTGTCAGGACAGATAATGACTCAAATTTTTTCCCTTCATTAAATTTTTTAAAACTTCCTGTTTAAAAGGATATTACAGGCTCAGGTAAAATAAAAATAATAATAAAATAAGACAACAACACAACAAAAACCTTGGAGAATAGAGAAAAGTGTAAAGAAAATGTAAATCATCCATGATTTCATAACTCAGTGAAAGCTATTATTAATATAGATCTATTTCTAACCAGGAATATTTCCATCTGTGTTATGTAAGCTTTCTATGTAATTGATGTCATTCTATTAGGTTATATATTTGGCCAATTTCACTTAATTGTATATGATAAGCATTGTCCATGTCATTAGAAATTCCTGGAAAGCATTTTAGTAGTTTACTAAAAAATTCTATCAGATAGGTGTATAATATTTTAGAAGATTTTTGCATAATTTGTTTTCTTTTAGCAGTATTATTAGAATCTAGTTGGCATACATACAGTAAACTGCACATATTTAGTGCTCAGCTTCGTAAGTATATCGGCACAATCAAGATAGTGTCCCTACCCATAGCTCCCAAAAGTTTCCTCATGCCCCTCTGTAACCTTTCAACTATCCTGCCAATCCCTAGACAACCACTGATTTGCTTTCTGTCCTAGAGATTTGTTTGGGTTTTCTAAAATGTTTTATAAATGAAATCCTACAGTATATATATATATTTTTAGTGGGCTGCTTTCCCTCAGCATAATTATTTTGAAATTTATCCTTGTTATATAATCAATAGTTTATTCCTTTTTGTTCCTGAGTAGTATTCCATATGTGAATATATGAACAGTTTGGTTGTTTCCAGTTTGGGCCTATAACAAAACATTTATGTACATTCTTATATGAGTCTTTGTATAGACATAAGCTTTTATTTTTCTTGGGTGAATACCTAAGAGTAGAGTGACTGAGTTATGTGATGGATATATGTTTAATTTTGAAGAAACTATTAGATTTTTCCGAAGTGGTTGTACTATTTTATTTTACATTTGTACCAGTGGTATATGAGTGTTGCAGGTGTTGTGTAGCCTCATCGACACTTGGTATGCATTGTTTTTTTAATCTTAACCATTCTAATAGGTATGTTTTATGGTTTTAATTCACCTTCCCTAATAACTGATGCTTTTGAGCATCTGAGCATGTGCTTATGTACATAAATTCATTATTATTATTATTATTTTTTAAATTTTATTTTACAAATATTTTCTCCCACTCTGGCTTACATTTATAGCAATTGTCTTTTAAAGAGCAAATGTTTTTCATTTTGATTAAGTGAAATTTATTGATTTTTTAAAAATTATATCCGGCTTCATGTACTCTTTTAAAGATATCATTGTCAAATGTAAGGTCACTGAGATTTTTGTTTTGTGTTTTCTTCTAGCAATTTTATAGTTCTCAACATTTAATTCTGCTATTCATGTCAAAGTTTTCATATACAGTCAAGGTACAAGTCAAAGTTCACCTTTTTTTGCATAGGGATATCCAGTTGTTCCATAATTTGTTGAAAAACTATCCTTTCTTGTTTTTGTGCTTTATAGAAGGTCAGTTATCCATATATGTATAGCTCTTTTCTTGATGGTCAGTTTTATTTGATGGATCTATTTATATATCTTAATCCCGGTATAATCTGCCTGATTACTTTGTTTTTGGGTTTTTTTTTTAAGTCTTCAAATTAGGTAATGTTAATCTCCAAATTTGTTCTTTCTCTAAATAGTTTTGGCTATTCTAATTCCTTTGCATTTTATTTTAATTTAAGAATCATTTTCACAGTTTATAAAAAAAAAAAAACTGCTTGGGAATTTGATTAGAATTGGGGAAGATGACATCTAAAGAATTTCACATGTTCCCCCTCATAAACACAGTATATCTCTTCATTGTTTAGATCTTTAATTTCCCTCAGCAATGTTTTGTTGTGTTTAATATATAGGTCCTGTACTACTTTTTTCAGATTTATATGAGTATTTCCTATGTTTTTTGATGCTGTTGTAAATGGAATCTTAAAATTTCATTTTCTGATTGGTTATTGTTTGTATATGAAAATATAGTATAATATGGACTCTGGAAAACAATCTGAAGGGTTGGAAGAGGTGGGGGGGTGGGAGGTTGGGGGAACCAGGTGGTGAGTATTAGAGAGGGCACGGATTGCATGGAGCACTGGGTGTGGTACAAAAACAATGAATACTGTTATGTTGAAAATAAATTTTAAAAAATGATAAAAAAAAGAAAATATAGTTGTTTTTAAAAGTAAACTTTGTATTTTACAACAGTTTTAGATTAACAGAGCAATTATGAAGAAGGTAGAGTTCCTACATACCTCAGACCCAATTTACTATCTTATTAACATCTTACATTAATACATTTGTTAGAATTAATGAATTATTTGATACATTATTAACTGAAGTCCGTACTTTATTCATATTTCCTTAGTTTTCCCCTGATGTCCTTTTTCTGTTCCAGGATCCCATCCAGAACACTACATTACATTTAGTTGTCATGTTTCCTTAGGCTTCTCTTGGCTATGACAGTTTCAGACTTTCCTTGTTTTTGATGACCTTGACAGTTTGGAGGAATACTGATCAGGTATTTTGTAGAATGTCTCTCAGTTGGGGTTTGTCTGCTGTTTTTGTCATGATTAGACTGGGTAATTTGTTTTTGAGAGAGAGGTCATAGAGGTAAAATGCCATTTTAGGGTATATATCTAGGGTATTATGGGTATGTACTGTCCATAGGATTTATTACTGTTGATTTTGACCTTTATCATCCGGCTGAGGAAATGTTTGCCTTTTCCAGAATGTCATATAATCGAAATCACACAGTATATAACCTTTTCAGGCCAGCTTCTTTCACTTAGCAATATGCATCTTAGGTTCATTCATGTTTTTTTCATACCTGGATAGCTTATTTCTTGTCACCGAGTAATAATTTATCATATGTATATACTGTAGTGTGTTTATCCGTGCACCTATTGAAAGACATCTTGGTTGCTTCCAGTTTTTGGTAATTATGAATAAAGCTGGTGTAATCTTTCATGTGCAGGTTTTTGTATGGACATAGGTTTTCAGATCAGGTCAGTAAATACCTAGGAGCACAATTGCTAAATCATAGATTGAAACTATATTTAGCTTTATAAGAAAGTGGCCAACTCTTTCAAAGTGACTGTACTATTTTGCTTTTCCACCGGCAATGAATGAGAATTTCTGTTGCTCCATATCCATGTTACTATTTGGTATTGTCACATTTTTTTATTTTAGCCATTATAACAGGTATGTAGCAATATTTCATTGTTTTAATTTGCAGTTTGCTAATGACAAAGGATATGGAGCATCTTTTCATATTGTTACTTGCCATCTTTATATTTTCTTCGGTAAGGTATCTGTTTAGATACTTTGCCCATTTTTCAGTTTTTTTTTTTACTTATTGTTGAATTTTGAGAATTCTTTTAATATTTTGGATACATGTTATCAGGTCATTTGCAGATATATTCACCCTATCTGTGCCTTGTCTTTTCATTCTCTTAATGGTATCTTTTGCAGAGCATAAATTTTAAATTTTGATAAAGTTCAACTTTTACTTTCATGGTTGTGTTTTTGGTGTTGTATTTGAAAACTCATTACCAAACCCAAGTGTACATATTTTTCTCCTATGTTTTCTTCTAGAAGTTGTGTAGTTTTTCATTTTATGCTTAAGTTCAATGATCTGTGTTGAATTAATTCTGTGAAGGATGTAAAATCTTTCTAAAAAATTTGCATATGGATGTCTTAAAATTGTTTCAGCACCATTTGTTGAAAGACTGCCCTTTCAGTATTGTCTTTGTTCCTCTGTCAAAGAGCAATTACTTATATTTGTGGGGGCCTATTTTTGGGATCTTCATTCTATTCCATTGATCTGTTTTATTCATTCTTTTGCCAAACCATGCTGTCTTGATTTCTATAACTATATAGTAAGTCTTGAAACTAGGTAGTGTGAATCCTCCAACTTTCTCTCTAATTGTATATTGGCAATTCTTGGTCTTTTGCCTTCCCACATAAAATTTAGAATCAGTACCTCTGATTCTAAAATAAATATCTATAAAATAGCTGTCTGAAATCGTAATTGTATTTGCATTGAATCTGTAGATCAGGTTGGGGAGAATGGACATCTTGATATGGAATGTTTCAATCCATGAACATGGACTATTTCTCCATTTTTTTAGATCTTTGATTTCTCTCATCATTGTTTTATAGTTCCATGCCTATAGATACTGTGCATTAACTTTGCAAAGTTCTAGGCGCTTATTACTTAAAATATTTTAAAAATTGAAGTATAGTTGACATATATATTTTTCTAAGTGTG